CATTCAGGAGCTTGATTGAAGGTTAAATCCGTGTGGGGAACGCTTGAAGGTAAGTTTTAATGGTTAGGGTTTTGGTTTTTCATCCCCTTTCTCTGTTTTCGTAGTTCCCCTCGGTTCTCATGGAGTTTCTCCATGTGTTTAGGACAAAATTCGTGAGGGGGAGCACTTCTTGGTGGATTTAGCGCGTGGGACGTCAATCCAAGGCAAGGGGGGACTCTATCCTACTCTTTTGTGCATGAATTGTTGTTATTTTGCTGAATATTGTGTTGTGGCTGAGTTAGTGGGTAGGAAATTGCTGAGAAATGTAATGTGGGTCATGTGCTGTGATATGTGAACATGATATGTGTTGATCCAAAATTGATATATGTGAATTGTATGTAAATGTTGTGTGATAGAATGAGTATGAGCACTTGTGTTGTATATTTGAATGAATATTGTGAAAATGTGGGCCTAAGGGCTCTGTAATGTGAACGATAATTGTGGGCTGTGTGTCATGTGTAAGCATGATTACTGCATGCGTGAATGGAATATGTGTGAATGAGCGTGTTAGCGCTATTGTAATGTGTTATGAATGGTTCAGCGATACACTGGGGATGTAGGAGATGAGGACGGTAGAAATACCTTGGGGAAGAGGGAGTGGTGGTGACACCGACTGCGAAACGGGTGCACCACGAGCCACACACTCTCTTCCTCACTAGACCTCTGACCGCTATCTTTACTGAGCGACCTGTGACTGCCCACGTGGTATCCGTGAGGCGGGGGTAACCGGCAACCATTCATGGTGTAAATCTGTGATCACAGTGCCACAGTGAGTGTGGTTGGTGTGTGTGTATGCACGAGTTTTGTGTACTGTACCTATAGATATGGAATGCTGCCTGTGATTGTGTTTGTTTAATGTATTAGAAATGTGCTGGAGGTGAGACTCTACGTTGATTGTGTGTTTTTGGATAGTGTAGAGTACTCACCCTTACATTCATTTTTCAGGTAATCAAGACGATTAGCACCAGACTTAGTGAAGGGGTGGATGAAACTGCTATAGGACTTAGGATATTATTTTAGAAAACTGTTGTATTTAAATAAGTCTTATAGTAACTGTTTGATATAATTTGTAACCCCTTCCTTTATTTGAAATGGTTAATGAAACTTGAATTAAAAATAAAAATTTTATTATCTCAAAAATTTGCAAAATTTCTTATTTATGGATATTAAATTTAAGGTGTTACATAAACAAAGACAAATGAGGGAAGGGAGCCACCCTCAATTCAAACCAAAGACAGGGAAGTACTCACTAAAAATAGAGACAGAGAAAAGGAGAATGAAAAGATGGATTAGGTAAGGTATTTCAATGGAAAGACTATTTTACCTTTAAAATAGACTTAAAACAAAGTCATTTTAAGGGCAAAAAGGGAAAGTCTGATTATTTTTACAAGATAAGAAGTCTTTTTTACCCTTAAAAAACCCTAAAATTTGCTTCATTCTGGGGATAGAAAGGGAAAGTTGATGACTTATACTCCAACGACACTGTTGCACTGTCAATGAGGCTACGATGGCTGTAAATACAGCTGGGATGGCCACCACATCAAAATGCTCCACTTTGACAATGTCGCCAGCTCAAAGCCGAGTCGTAATTTATTCAAATAATTAGAAAATGATAAAAACTCTAAAAATAAAGCATATAAAAGGTATTTAGAAACCAAAATGGAGTTATAAATGCTACATATCGTCATGAGTACAAACCATTTTATAAAAGGTATTTAGAAACCACAATCCGTCATAGATGCTACCACACCATTTTGGATCACAACTACCTAGGTCATTTTCCCTTTACACTACCAAAAACACATGAAATAAAGATGAATTTTTCAAAGTTTACAGACAAATTTTGTTATTACAAACAAAATTGACTCGTCTGTAATTTCTTTGTCAGTAAATCAATATAGACACATAGACGAAAACATTAGTCTCTAACATTACAGGCTGATTTTTTTGTCTGTAAGTTACAGACAGACTTTTTTGTCTATAATATTTAATTTTTTTCTTTTGTTTATTTGTATAATTATTCCTCGTTATTCCTAATTATCATAATAATTTATAATTATAAAGAAATTTATAAAATCAAAATTCAAAATTGAAAAAATTATTTCAAAATTATTAAATTAAAATGTCATTACAATTAAAGAAGTAAACATCCAAAGTAATAATGTGAAAAATAAATTAACAATATATATCACGACTACTCGGCATAATCATCATCAAGAGCAACATCATTATCATCAATAGAGGAGGAGGCACACCAAATACTAGTTGTGTTAGAGCTGGTGGTGGAGGAGGAAAAGGTGTAGAGTTATTTGCTTCTATGAACTTGAAGTATGCATGCATTTGTGTATGTTGCTGCTACACCTCTTTCTGCATCTTTTATGCCACCTTTTTTTCTCTCTTTTTTTCTCTATTTTCTTGGCCCACTTCTTTTTCTATGTACTCTCCTTGGTCTGCCACATCTCCTCATTTTGCTTCTAGATATCTTTATTAAGGGCATGGACTTGAGTACAAACGATGTCCTCCACCACCTCAAGCACAAGAGAAGAGGCACCTCCAATGACAAATGCAGGCAACATCAAGTTTGCGAAGTGGCTCCATATGCCATAAATGCAGCCTTTATAAAGATCACCCATCGTCTCTGATCATATTGCATCCTCATCAATGGACTCTGGGTTCTCAGTAGAAGCAGCCTCTAGCCTTTGAACACAGCCATCCTACAATTATTGCAAATAATTATATATTGTCTCAAGAAATATTTTTTAAAATATTTAATAAATAATATAATGTTAGTAACTATACTTATATATGTAGCCTGAGATTGTGCACTAACCCACTCGATTTTGTCTCTTTAGCGAGTGTCTGTCTCCTTGAACACCTCTCTGTGTGTAGGTGGTCTGTTTAGCAACTTCTCCTGCAATTCCAATTAATAAACCTCTCAAATTCTATTGATAAATTAAATAACATAAAATTTAAAATAATAAATTATGCAAAATGTGGATTATGCAAAAAAAATGATGGAAACATGCAGCAATTTGATGCAAAAATATGAAGTAATGCATAACAGATTAAGTGTAGAAAAAATGCAGAGAAATGCAAAGAAGTCCACCTAACAAACCCGCAGAATTATGTAGAAAATGCAACAATAGAAACAGAGCAAATTAAAAATAGGGTAAGTGTAGAATTTTAAGACAGGAAAGTATAGAATGCAAAATTTTAATTATGCAAAAGCAGTAAAAATGTAACCCCTATTTTTATTATTTATTAGTTTTGTATTTGGTATGAGTTGTTAATGTATGTTGCTTGAAATTAGGAGAGTTTTTTATATTTAAGCTGTAGGATTTTTCACTATAACAAGATGTGTCTCGTTGTAGCGAGAAATCAGCATCCAAAATCAAGCATTTTGATGCTCTCTCACTGTAGCGAGGATGCTCTCACTGTAGCTAGAATGACAGATAGTAAAGTGCAATTTTATCTAATTTTTTTGCTGTAGTGAGAGAAGGTCTCGCTGTAGCGAGAATATCGCGAATTGAGGGGTATTTAAGAGTTTTCAAGTTAAGAAAGTTGGATTATAATCCAAGTCACGACCCTCATATGTTCTCTCTGACTTTTCTCCTAATTTTCTCAGCAAATCTTTAGAAAAACCCCAACTTTTCTCCAATCAAAGTTTAGAAGATCATTTCCCTTGTTCTTTGGTAAGTTTCGGAGCTTTGTTCTCTATTTCTTTGATTATTTTTTTGTTCTTTCTCCTCTAAAGAGAAACTCTTGTGATATTTAGGAAGAACTTAGCCTTTTGAGCAAGATCCTTCAAAAACCCTTTACTAAGAGAGTGGTATGCTTGTATTCATGAAGATGTTGTGATGAAATGTATGATTTTAAGTATATGTTGGATGAAAACATATTTTGTTATATTTGAAGCCTGTTTTGTGATGTTTGATGATGTGTATGATTTTTATTTTAACTGTATATGCATGTACATGGTGGAATGAGTCCAAGGGAACTAACTCTCAGCAATGATTGATTTATGTGTAATATAATAATGAACTAGAGTAAAAGAAAGATATAAAAGCATGAATGATATGTGAATAAATAGATAGTGAGAAATATAGAGATGAGATGGAAAATATGGAAAGAGAAAGTGAAATGAGAATGGAATATGATAAGGATGAGTATGGATAGTTTAGAGGTACACTAATATACATCTTTTTAATGGTATCTGTTACCTGATGGATACCAACTGAACACATAATAAAATAACACAATCATGATAATATTCGCATCAAATAAAAACAAGCACTGATGCTAGATCTGTCTCTCCTTATACGCCTTGGAGGAGGAAGACCCGAAGTCCCCGAGTGAAGGTCTGACCAGAAGTAAAGAATCCCAAAGGAAAAAGAGTATGATAAATCGTGGGAATAAAGATGAAGATGCGTGGTGTAGTAGGTCCAGGTCCATTTCTAGTTATTTACAATAAAAGGATGCATATATCTCTAATGTGTAGTTAGGAACATGACTAGAATACTTTTCATTAGACTTAGGAAAAATATATTTTTTATGACCCTTAAAAGAATTTATCTTTTTAATAAGTACTTAAGATTAAGTTAAGTGCAATTTTTTTTAATGTATGAAAGCAAAGTTTATAATCTTAACGTTGAATTACCGGCAAAAATTTAGTGTTATAAATTTTACAAACCAAATGTTTACCCGATTTCTTTAATTCTTAAGAATGAGTTAGGTTTAGTCTATTTTCTTGTAGTTAGTTTAAGGAATATTTAATTCTTAATTATATTTTTAGTCTCTACAAAAGTAATACTCTTTAAAATTAATCCTTAAAAAAAATTTCAAAATTTAATTCTTAATATTTTTAAAATATTTAAAATTAATCACTGCTATCAACTTTTATTAAGTGATTAAGTGGTAGTGGTTGACAGAGGAAGCGGAAAAGCAAAAAGGAGTGGGATTGAGTTACAAACTTATTATTCTTCCACAAATTTGAACAAGGGAGTAGTCAGTGACAGAAACAGCAAACTAGGAAGTTATAGCTCCTCAAAGTGTTACAAAGCAAATTTTGATTTACATTACAACCATGGGATCTATAAACTTGCTTTAGCTAAGCACAAGAGATCTTTATGACCTTAGCGAGACAGTTGTTTATAAGCTTAGGTGCTGGGAAGTACGTAAGATAATTTTGAGGATTCATGAGCTCGACCCTGTAAAATAATTATAATAATAAAGCACAATTTCACTTGTAAAGGATCTATGTAAAAGGATGATAAAAAGAATGTCCGAAAGATATAATGCTTACTTGTAATTAAGGAGGAAATAATGCATAAATATGGAAATTTCTAGTTTGGTTAGGTCACTTCCAGGGCAAAGCTTACTTCCTGCCCCAAAAGGAAGGAAGTTTCCTGCTTTGCCCTTGCAATCCTGCACATATAAATTATAATTCATAAATCTATATGCATTTTTCAAAAAAATCAATTGATACGTGTCCAATTGTAAGTATCTGTAAAAGGTTATATATTATTCTAACTTACATCCCATCTGGACGGATTAAATTCTTGTGGATTTGGAAAATTTTCAGGATCCATATGAACAGCTCTTATCCAAACCAGCACTTTCCATCCTTTTGGTATGATATAACCTAAAATATTGAGCCAATGATATGAATACATACGTTTCTATTCTCCTTTAACAATCAAAGTTAACTAAAACTAGAGTTTATATTTTTGCAATGAATCTGAACAGTGAACAGTGAACAGTGAACAGTGAATAACCATTGATGTTCACGTCAACAGCTGCCTCTCGGAAAATCGAAAAGACAGGATTAGCACGACGTAACATTTCATCGATTACCTGCACAGCGTAACAGTCAACATTTTCCTACTTGGACAAGCATCTTAAAAGTTGCAGAAGAAAATAATAAAATAAGATGAATTAAAATTCTTTTATAATTCAAAGATTTAATTATATTTTTGGACCATTTAGTTTGGAGATGAGTAATTTTAGTATTTTAATTTTTTAAATAATTAATAAATCTCTATTTTTAAAAGTGTTCAAATTAGTTCTTTTATCAATTTTTTAAAAGCTCATAAATTCTCATTTTCCACTCAAAATCTTTACAAATTGAATTGACTAAAATGCGTTCTATTCAAAACTAACAATTAATTAAAATATCAAAATTTACCCCAAATAAATTTAAATCTTTTTCTGTTCATTTCCAAATTAAATTTTATCAGTTGTTCACTAACTTTTGTACTTTTGAACTTTTATATAAAATTCTATATTCCAACTCCATGATAAACCTTAATGTGCATAGCCTTAAAATTAAAGAGATTTAAGTAGCTCAAATAATATTTGAGGTACCAAAATCACATTTAAACTCAATTAAAGAGATAAAAGTACCATTAAATTTAAATTATAACAATTCTAAAGGGAGGGGTTTGTCATTTTCTTTTATGCTTACTTGAGAGAGATAAACCATTTGCTTAATCTCCTTAAGAGTTAATTGTTTTTGCGATGAAGGTCTTGCTTTCATGATTTCTTCTTGCTCATCCTACAAGATATAAACAAAGATTGATTACCTTATCTATTGGCAGTCGACTTAGATTGTCTTAAATATGACATAATATTCTGAACAGAATCTTGATGGTCAATTTAACCAAATACAATCATTAACAAGTGAACATACTTGTAATATCAAATCAACCATGTAACAAAACGGCTAGTAATAATCCTAGCTAATATTAAAGAAATTTGGTTGCTACAAGTCCTTTAATTTGGGTTCTGTACAGTCTGTGTTATATGGGCACAAGCCTATTCAACTTATATGTTAAAAGTTTTTTCTTAAATTATTTGAATTTTTGTTTACAAAATATCTAAATTTAACAATTTTTATCTATCGAAATGGATTATCCAAAATGATTTAGGGCTGTTTGATTTCTGGAAAATATTTTTCATTTTCATTTTCTGTTTTCACTTTTAATTACAAAATTGTCACCTTGTACTCATTCTATTTCTTCTTCTTTTTTAATTTATCTATGAAACAATGAAAATGAAAAAAAAAAAGTTTTCTTCGGTGTTTCCTATACAAATATTTAAAAGCAGAAAATAAACTAAAAATAACAAATTAAAACAAAAAATATTTTCTGAAAATAAATAGCTGCTTAATTTATGCTTTTATATACAGCTGTTTTCAGTTATTTAATTGATATTTCTACACCTATAATTGATCCCACCATATAAATGTCACAAAATACAAAAAACTGTTTCTCGTAAGAAGCCCTGTGTAAACTTATATATGTAATTACGCAAGTCTTTTCAATTATGTAATCATAATAGATATTTAAGGATTTATATGTCTACTTCAGTTACTGTAAACTTAAAAATATAAATAAAATTATTTATAATTTATAAATGAATAACTACTTGAAGTATACTTTAAAAAGTATTGATTCAAAAAAAGATTTCAAAGTATAAAAGCGCATATCCAAAAAATAAATAAAAATTGGTAGAATATAAATGTAAAAATTCAAAATATTTAAGAAATTTAATTATGTGGAAAATGATAAGAATATTCTCATACTGAATAATCAATTGAAAAATATTAATTTAATTTTACACGTAAGTTTAAAAGACAAATCATATAATGAAAAAGACATTATATAAGAGAAAACATATATAAAAAAAAAAATCTCAATATTAAAGTAATAATCAGTCGTTCAATTTATCAATCCATACTTAAGAATGCCATGAATAATTTAATATTCAAACAACTTTCATTGATAAGATATACCTTGTGTGAACAATAGTTACTATAGCACGAAAAATTAATGCCTTGTGAATTCTTTTACTATATTAATTTTAAATTTATTTGATATATTTATTCCTCTTTTTCATTGTATACATCAGTTTATGTTGAAGGGTTGGTCCGTCTTTGACTTCAAATAATAATATCCTATACTTTTTATACAATAAAAGTATAAGTCGATTGTAAAGTACTTTCATATATTTACAAAGAGTTTTTATTAAAAGAAAACAATTATTAATTGTTCTTAACACTAATTATTATCTTTTCATTGGTTGATTGTAACTCAATTGGTATCTCTTCCTACTGTCATCAGGGAGTCATAATTTTTTTTAGCAAAATAAATTCAATAGTTGATTATATGGGATTAATTCGATCCTCATTTTCCAATACCATTAGATGTAATTACCACCCTATAAAAAAAAATCAAACTTTAGTTCTACAAATTAAGTTGTAGTTCACTGTATGACCTGAAAAATATTCTTTGGGATCTAACTTATTGTATTCTCAATAATTGATAACTATAATATTATAAATATTTGCTTTTAGCAAGAATGAATGCATTGGTAAATAATTTAGACAACATATGCGAAAATAAAATAATAAGCATTTTGTTTTTACGTACCTAAATTTAGCAGAAAGAAAGGCATAACTAGATATGTTGATATATTATTTAAAAACAATTTATATCTTTAAAATTATAGTTGATTTATTTTTTGTGATATTCTGGTTATAAATCGTTAAACGACAACAATAAAACCTATGGTGATTCATAACACATCAAACTTATATTAAACGCTTTCCATAAAATTTGTAATTGATTCTACGCATGCCTGATGTAAGCGTCGTTTACCTTGGCTTTCTTCAAGATATGTGGATGTTGTGTAAGATATGCAATTGTCATCATCATTCCAGCTGCTGTGCTTTCACCACCAGCAAATAAAAATACTATCAATAAGTCAATAATATCCTCATCCTCCAATTTCTCACCATTCTGGCCATTCACATGCAAAAGAATATCTATAAGGTCTTTTTGGCCCCCAATTTCACCATTTTTTATCATCATCTTCCTTTCATCTACAACAGATTGAACTATGTTCGCCAGCCTCTCACGTGCCTAATATAACGAGTCAAACCCATGCAATAGTGATATTAGAACTCAAACAAATACAAATAATTTCAAGCATATATATATATAAATAGTAATTAAACTTGTATTTAAAAAAAATATTTATTATTCAATGTAACAAATAGTTTTTTAGTGAAAATTTATCACTTTTGATTATTTTAGATGAATATTTTAAAAATAATAATAATGAGAGAAGAGATGGAAAGAACCTTGAGTGCCTTGTGAAAAGAGAACCCAGGTACGTTAATGGGGACAGAGAACATGGCCTTACTAATATCAGTAAACAAATCTCCTATTTTAGTAAAAATGTGTTGATTGCGAGATCCCAAAAAGATGTGAACGATGACATGAGTGGAAATTCTCTTCAATTCTTTCATAATCGCAAAGGGGTGTTTCATGCTAGACATTTCTTCCAAAGAATTGATCACAATCTCCTCAATATGTTGTATATACACAGCTAACATGTTGTGTCCCACGATGGGAGCAGTAACTAGGCGCCGAAAACGCCTATGTTCTGCACTTGAGACTTCATTCAAGGCTCTACTTCGTGCAAGCTTTGAGCTCGAACTTGGATAACCAAACCTAAAGCTCTCATCATCTGTTAGCACTCGCTTGCACATGTCAGGTGCACACACAATGATGCTTGGCTTCCCAAACAAATGAGTCTTGTAAATTCCAGTTGCTCCATATCTGAAACATGCATAAACAAGACAAGAATATAAATTTAATTTGAAGGATAGTTACATCTAAAAAATTCATATAAAAAGTTACTCTAAATGATACTTGGAAACAAGATTGTTGAGAAGTAAATCAGGATGACCAGATGAGTAATCTTTGGCGAAAGCCAATAGATTGCCAATTATGGGCCATCCCATATCACCGGGAGGTAGTGGGTGTTGTTTATTTCTTAGTGTCAGATCATAGTACCACTCGTTCAACCTCCTCACTATCTTTTTCACAAAAACATAGGATGTGAACAAAGTGGCCAAACTCATCCATACCCAATGTAATTCCATTTCTTTCTATATATCCTTTGCCGTTCAGATTATCACTCTATTTATAACTTGATTGTTCTTGAATCTTGATACACTGGATCCTTTAGTCGATCTCTATTTGGATTTATGTTTAAAAATCTAGCTATAATCATTAATTGAACACAAAAGTTACATTTAATTTAATGATGTTGAAATAACTGTGAATCCATATACACAGTTGATGTGATTCAAATATTTTGTTATAATGGAATGCTAACTATAATATTTTTACCCAGCAATAAAATAAAACTAAAAATTTATAGGTTAAAAAATATAGTGTATCAATATTATTTAGTAATTTTGACTTCAATTTTAAAAAAAATATTAACAATATAAACAAAATATGTTTTAGTCAAACACTTGCTCGTCCATTATAATATCAAACAAATTACAGACACCTTTTAGGGTTTAGTGATATTAAATTAGGATTGACAAATGGATTATTGGATAAATTTGAAGTTAGATTATAATGAATATATAAAAACAATTTATACGATCCATTAAAATTAAATATTTTGAAATAAATTTAGTCCATATATGCTTCATTTAATTAAAATTCATCCAATTTATTCTTTAATCATTTATATGGATAAATATGATTCAATCTATCTATTTAAAATTATTTTATATTTTATTTATGATAAGTATATCTATCTAAATTTTTACTCACAATTTTTGTCTCCCTCTCTATCTAATTGTTGTCTCTATTATGCATTGTTAAACCAAGTTACTCATCAAATCAATGGGTGCTTGATTTAAATATTGCATGCTTAATATCTTACGATACTGGATCTAAAATTTGTATATATAAAAAAAAATCGTGTTAAGAGAGTTAGTTACTACCATGATAAAATATTTTTAACTTAAATGCAATTGTGTTTAATTAGAAAAAAATATTTGTGGTTTATATAAAAATAAATGTAAACTCAGCTAATATAACTTTCCGTATCTACGTTATTTATAGGTATTAAATAATTAAAATTAAATTTATTTTAATAATTTATTATAATATTAAATGTGAATATTTTATCAAATCAAAATTTAAATTTTACTTAATCAAACACAATAAAAAAATATTTTTTGTTCATTCAATTTAATCTGAATTCGATTCAGGTCGCTCACTTAAATGTGGTAAGCGAATTTATTATTAATTTTTTTTTACATACATAGAAACTTAAATTCAAAAATTTTTCTAAGCAATATTGAACCACTTACTACTTAGACCATCACAATAAAAATATTTAAAGCACTGCAGTTAAATTTTATTTATAATAATAGCATAGATGTGATTAATCATTGCTGTCATTGAAGTGAATATTGAAAAATATGTTAATAAGTAATGTTATCTTCTAACATAATCCACTCATTAATTGTCATAATACTTGATCAGAGTCATGTCTATAAATTTTGGAACCTTAGACAAAATTATTAGAATGATTTATTATAATGTAAATTGTTAATTTTTTATTACATTTTGAACTGTGACATTATTTAGTATGAGTTTTGTAGTCAAGTAATTCTAATTTTTTAATAGATAATAATTATATTATCTGATACTATTAAAAGAAGTTTTTTATAATTTAAATTGCTTAAAATCTATCTAAGATTAATTATGTTGTAAGCAATGTTGAAAATAATATAATTTTTGAAATGGTGTAATAATTTATTGAAGTGTATATACCATTGCTACGAATAGAACGTTGCGAACCAAATAATGGACTAGAGACTAGAGCTCCTTTGTTCGGAGTGCGTTTACAAGTGTTTCCACGTTAAGACTAACGAATGCTGTTTCCATTGTCATTGTGATAGTTAAACAGTGCATATACACTTCTGAATATTTGCTTTCACTGTTGACTTCTTGGCCCAATAAGTTATCGGTTTCACAGTATTCTCCACGGGATGGATGCATGTGTGTAGAATATTGGTTCCCCAGTTGACCAAAAATAAACAAATATCGGTTACCGTCTTTTTGTTCTTTTTCTCAAAGTTTGAGAGATAGAGATATATTTTTGCAAGGAGCAAGCGCCATTCATTTTTAAACATGATTGGGCATTGAATTTACAATTAAAGATGACTCGGACTCTCACATTGTTTTTAGCCATGTTTTTATAATTTAAATGGCGAAATATTTGTAACATATTTTTTAACATTTTTTCTATTAAAGATAGAAATAAGTTAGGTTAAATTTAATCTATTATTTCTGACTCATTATTTATTATAAGTTTTTTTTATTAAATTTAGACTGAATTTTTTTTAAAATTTAATTTGTTCTATTAGCTTTTTAATGACTTATTTTTATACTGAGACTTTTAATAAGTTATTAAATATATTTATAAATGAATTATCAAATCATTTAAATATGTATATTTTTATAAAAGTTATAAAATTTTATTAAATAAGTTATAAAAAATATTCAGCATATTAAATATTTATAATAAATTTTATATAAATATATATATATATATTACTTTTAAACTAATTTTAAATTATATATTTGATTTAAATAATTAAGTCATTAAACTTACAATAAACATAATTGTATATCATTATGCATAAAAGACAAATGAAATAAGCAAAAAAACTCTAGCAAACAATGTTCTCTCTTAGAATATATGTAACAAAAGTACTTTACAATTCTAACAAAAAAAATTAAAATTTTTAATTTAAAATTTTATTCACTTTAAAATTTTAATTTATTTAATATGATATTATTTAACATATTCTTTTAAATTTTGAGTCTTAAACAAGTCATTTTATCAAGCCTAATAAGCATTATCTTAAGTTAAAGTTTAACATATTTAATTAATTAAAATTTTAAAAAAATTTAAATTAAGTCTATTATTTAAACAGGTAAAGTTATAATAAACTTTAAAAAGTTTAAGCCAAGCTTATGTTAAATAGTCTGACTTCTTTTATCCTTAATTTTGATATTTTATATATTAATTAGTGCCTTGTAAAAAAAATTAGAACAAAATTATTAAAAATCATTATTAATGTATTTTATTAAATATTTTAATATACTTCTAATATAAATTTTTTAGAAACAAATTTAGTATTGATTAATTCTTTAACTACTGTTTTTTTAACTACATGAACTACTAGCTAGTAATTAAAAAAATTGGTCTCATTAAACAAAATATGGCTGAAACACCCTCGAAATTGGCTTGGGCATATTAATATTACAAGAAAAGGTTTAAAATTATGGAAAATGTGCATTATCAATTCAAATAAAAGTAGAAACTTAAAAGTAATAATATTAACATGTTAATTATTTATAACAATATTAATAATATTTAAAATAGGTTGTATTAAACTTAATTAATATGTTTATTTTTATAATTTAAAAACTTAAAATGCATAAGTTAGTCTAGAAAGTTTATAAAAAAAAAAGGTAAGCACTGTATTAATGAAAATAAAGGAAAGATAATAAATTTGGATCTTTCAAAATAGCAGTTGAAATCTATCCTAACGAGCCAACTCGTATAACAACTCATTCTAAGGTTCTTCAAATACATGAACTAGATAGAAAATTTTGAGATTTGTGAAATAATTATAACATGTTAGGAAGTGAAGCATTGATAACTGCAAAAGATTCAAAAAATTTACCTATTTTGAGTTACATAATTTATAATATTAGTGGCCCTTACTAAAGGAATTGTATATTCAACAAAAGCATAAAGCAATCTATCTCATGATATTGCTACCCATATTACACATTTAAGTTCTCGGATAAAAAGAAAATATTTAATAGTCAATGAATTTTATTAAAATCTACAATATATCATGTATAAAGCAAACATAAAATTTACTGGAAATATAAATTTTCTTATTTGATAAATCTACAAAAATACCAAATAGGAAGAATAAACCAATTTTAAAAAATCAAACATTAAAATAAAATAATATTTCGATTAGTACATGTTATTTACTTATCTAATTTATATATGAAAATAAATATTTACCTATATTAATGTGCTGTAAAAAATTGTCATTCACTTGATAAAAAAATTGTCCACATGTTTTAAATATTAATTAAATTTTTTTAAATAATATTTAAATATATAATATAATAATAAATAGGATGAAATTTTGGTTAAAAATTTTAATTTTAAATTTCAAATGCAGACTCAATAATGTTTTAAAAAGTATTAATTTTTATTCAAATAATTCTTAAAAAATTATTAGTCAAGCAAATGGTGAATAGAGGGTTAATTAGTTATTTGGAGAGGTAGAATTTTTATTTTTAAGAAAATAAAATATAACACAAAGTTACACCTATCCTATTATGCTTGGGATAAACCTTCTTACACACCACACACACACATATTTCTGAATTTAAATACCAATACACTTCATAATAATGCATATATTTAACTTTATAAAACAAAACAGTTAATTTTTTATGTAATGTTTTTTCAAATGAGGTAAATATTTATTATAATCTAAATTTAAATATCAATACACTATGACAAAAGTTTGTCATCTACGTGATTGAAAAATTATCCACTTATTGGAAAATTATAATTTCAAAAATATAATAATAATAATAATAATAATAATAATAATAATAATAATAATAATAATAATAATAATAATTAGAAAGAAATTTGGCTTAAAATTTTAATTTTAAATTAAAATGTACAGTTAATAATGTTAAGAAAAAGGTTATAATTTTTAAATTAATTAGTTAAGTAAAAGGTTGTAACTTGAGATAAAAGAAATAGTATAAATATTTGATAATTTTTTTTCATAAAGAGGAAAATATAAACGAAATTAACAAATAAAATGTTATAAATCATAAAAATAAGAAATAAAATATATTAGATAATATCTAAAACATATGTGTGTTTGAGAGTTAGAATTTTAATTTATAATTTAAGAATAAATGGTTGTTTTCGTAATTTTAACACAAATCTTTTGTAGAATTTAGAAGCTGGCTTATTTATTTAGCAAGCAAATTGCTTTAAAATGACTGTTTGAGAAAATTAAAATTGTT